GACAGTCTCGACTGTGTGCTGAGACTCTTCTCATCACCATCTTTCGTTTGATGGCTGGACCAGTCAGCGACATGAGACAAGAACAGAGGCTTGTAGGCTTGTGGCAGAATTTGGTTGCAGTGCACTTCAACAACGATAATTTGTTTGTCAGGGGACATAAAAGGAAGCCAAAAATATGAGAGGAGAAGTTGTATGCTGCTTCCCATGGAGTGATTCTTATCTTCTCGCTTCTCAGGTTTCTCTGACTGGTTTCTCATGTCTTTGTATATATATATATATATTTGTTTTCAACAAGTTCCTCGCTGCCAGACTTGTGGGGGCATGTCTCCAGTGTCCAAATCCTCCTTGGCCCGTGGAGCGGACTCTCCTGGAATAGAAGAGAGATCAACAGGAAGAGATAAGAATGCCCAACATGACATGACATAACGCGTTTATTCTTCTGCAAAATCACCTGTCTAGAATCGTCTGCGCTCCACGTACCCCCTGAATCTGAAGGAGGATACATGTTTCATGTTTGATCACCGATTGAGGGATTTTCGTGGGATCACCTGCACGATTTGCCCAAACGTCCTGAGACTTCGCGGTGGCCGGCGTGGGGGGCGGGCGGAAAGCGGCAGCGGTGGGCTTCGCAGCGGTGGGCTTCGCAGCGGCGGCGGCAGCGCCGACCGAGTGGATCTGAGGCCTTCACTGCCCGTGATCAACACATCTCACTCCAGGCTGCAGGTGGGCTGTACCTGGTGGTTTTGGTGGTGTTTTAGCACTTCTCAAGCCCAGAGCCCTTTGGAACGGCTGGTGAGTCTGGGTGGGTGGTGGGTGAGTTTTGTGCCTGCTACATTGCTGTAACAAACCATTTTCCGCCCGACATGTGAAGCCCCCTCAAGCCCCAAAAACATTGAAACACTTGGTCTTGCAACTCTGGAACAACTTCGACAACAAATCGTATTGACGCCACCTCTACAAGGTGATCAGCGTCGTACCACAGCGTCTCAATCCGCGCCAAGCGATGGTCTCTTGGACGCTGCGGCTCCAGGTCTCTTGGACCCTCCTCAATGACGGTGGTACCAACGTCACTGGCCTGGGCAGCTCAGGAACGTCAACCGCGTAGGCCATGACGTCGGGTCGTTTGGGTCAACGAATGGCATTCGACATGGCCAAGAGCCGTCCTTACACGATGCTACATCAGCGGCTTTGTGGTCCATCATACACTTTTGCCGTGTGATGTGTACTCTACTTGAGGGCTGACATCTCTCCATTCTGTTGCCGTGTGGTTTCCAAAGCGAACCAGGCTTTGAGGTGGAGTTGGCAGAGTCAGGTGGGGCTGCTTTGCCTTCCAGACTGTCCAAATTCCATAGAGATTTGAGTTCTCTCACAGCAAACTTGGGATGATTCTGGTCTCCACATCAATTTCTGTCATCACCTCAATCCTGTCACCGGGCCAGGCGAAGCCTTTGAAGCAGCCCTCAACGTATCTGAGCCGTGGTGGTCTTAACGCAGTCTTGAAGCAAGCCGTAGCCCGAACGCACATGGACACGTGGAAGAATAGGTGTCCATCGATTTCCCTAGCCTGATTTCCCAGAAACTAGGCCAGCCACAACAACTCAAGAAGGTCAGGAATACAAAGATCCGTGCCGAGGTTTGTCACGATCAGCGGCCTATTAGGCAACATCACCTATCGAGTCGTGGTGCCCAAAGTAGATCGAGACAAGGCGCTCGCATCAATCGTTGTCAAGGCACTTGCACAAACGTCGTAACCGTACTCGCAATGAAGCCAATTTTTACTTTTTTGCCAGATGTTTGTGGGCTTTTTGTTCTGGAAAGGGCAACGAAAATAGCCGATGCTTGTATATTTTCTCTTTATGCTCATGTAAGTTCCTTGTCCTGTCTAAGCATCAACATACACATCAACTAGTGAGCGCAAAGTGTACTGCTGGACATGAGGTTATCAGTCTGCTCATCTTTATTCTCATTGTGCTGCTGTATTGCAGCGGTATTCACGGACAACAGGACTTGCTTTCCGGAAAGAAGCCTGATAATTGATCGCTTGAGGTCCGGATACGCGCCCTCAGCACTGGAGGCAAGCCAAGAAATGCCAAGAATAATGATGCATCAGGTATGGAAGCCTTGGGTTTGCATGCTTTATATATATCACTGATAGTATTTGACTCTGTTCATTTTGGCTCAAGGTACCTTCAAAACCCAGGACATCCTATCAGAGACTAGACCTTTCCTGAACGAATCGGAGACCTCACTCGGGGGAGATCCTCACCATCCGCATATCTCCAGAGCCAACTCGGCCGGCCCCGCAGATCGTGCCGGTCGGCACGCCACGAAATGATGGACCCAGACATCGGGTGACCTTTCTCCGATTCGGAACGGAACGGGCGGAGACCGGGGGATGTGGGAGGCCGCTCCTATCCCAGTCACATCGCGGAAGCGACCACCGATGCACCGGCACGGATGCCTGGTCTTGGACAGGTTGGAAGTCTTGATGAGTTGCCAAGAGTGGGATTGGAGTTGCTCTCGATGTATTTTGGAGGGTTTTTGCTACAAGTGATTTTGATTCACTTAAAATCCACAAATATGACATGCTGGTTCTCCGCTCATCGGGTGCCATGACGTCCTACAACGTCCTCTACGACGACGTCCAACCATTTCCTACGACCTTTGACGTCCCAGGTAGTCCCTGATGCGCCAGCGGACCTGCGCATGGAAGCGCTGGCACCACACACGGCACGAGGGACGGGGCCGAACCCGGCACCGGAGGACGGATGTGTGCTGATGCAGGGAAGATAGGTAGGTCCCCAATCCTCCCAGGTCCCTTGGTCCATCCTTTCAATCCTTGCCTTGATCTTCATCTCTGTATCAGAAATGAAGATGATGTCCGTTCGGTGCCGTTCGGTGCCTTTCGGTGCCCCTGGGCCTTTGTGGGCCTGTGGAGGTCACCGAACACATGGTTTCGTGTCGCCAGGCCTGGCTTCGATTTACAGCACCGTTGGACGAGGGCGGCCGCCCTGTGGAGGAGGGGCAGGGGTGGAAGCGGCTGCGGCGTCTCGGTATGTGTGAGGAGCCGAGCTTCCAACAAGAGCAACTTTTGACTGGGTTGTGGATTGTGGGAATAGGCTTTCAGAACTTTCATGATGGGTGATCGAAAGTTAGGTTTATTTTGGGAGTTTGGGAGTTTGATATTGTATCAGCCTGTGGCCCGCCAGCATATGCAAGGTTTAAAGAAAAGGAGACCTGTTTGGGGCCTGGGGTCTGGTTTGAGCTAGTTGGAGCCTTCCACCCACCAAATCTTTTTCTTTAAAAAATCTGATGGTGCTTGACCCAGACGGATGGTACCGTTTCAGTTGGCAGGGCTACGAGATTCTGGTCACGACGGAAGATGCCCAGTCTGTGGAGACTTTGCATGTAAACGCTTCACAGGCACATCATGAGAGATCCAAACCAGAGTTGAGCTCGAAGTTGGAGACAGTGACAAAGCACTTGACATATGATGAATCTCAGCCCTAGCCAGAGGAGTAAAGCGATTGATCCTTCCAAGCAACTTTGCTCTAGTGAGTCGAGTCGTCAGCACGTCTTGATTGTCGGGAAGGGCAGGTTGGTGAAGTTGAACCGTGGCAGCCATGGCTGCAGGTTGATGTGGAAGTCCTTCGCCTCCAAGGATCTCAGTCTTATGAGCCACTCGACCTTTGGCCCAACGCTGATCTGTGCTTGCCGTCGTTCTTTTCTCTTCAAGAGGTTTTACTTCAGCCAACGTGGATGTGGACTGGAACAGTTTGTAGTTTGTGTGCTTTGATTGACCCTTCCGCATATTCATATACCCAGAGACGGCCTAGCGTACTGTAGATGCCCTGCCACACCTCGTGCCAAGGTTTCTTGTGTTCGCTTGGAATGCAATTGGCAGGCCTGACAGATCACGAAAGGTAGCCCTTTAGGGGATACCTTGAGTTTGTCTTGCAAAGCAAGTGTTGGCGCGTCCGGGTCTAATAATTGATCATTCAATTCAACCCCCCCCCCTCGAATTGATTTTTCAATACAGACCCCGCCCCCCCCCCCCCGCATTGAATTTTTCAATACAGACCCCCCCCCTCCCCTCTAAATTCAATTCTCTCCTGGAGAACGTGTTCGTGAGCCTCTCATGATTTCAGGATAGTTGAAGCCCTCTTGAACATTCAGAAAGAGTGCATATGAAATTCTAATCACGAAAGGTGTTCCCCGAGGGGATACATACCTAGAGTTTGTTTTGTGAAGCACGTCTATTCTCTCCTGGGGAACGTCTTCGTGAGCCTCTTATGGTTTCAGGATAGTTCAAATCCTATGATGCTCCGATTCAATGCTCACCGATGATCTGAGCCATGGGGCGAGTTTGTTTTCCTAAGAATCTTTTTGAACATTTCGAGAGCATATGTTTGAACATTTAGAGTCGAGTGCATATGCACATATATTTTCGAAAGGTCGCCTCCGAGGGGATAAATCACCATGTCGAACATTGCATTTTTGTTCCTGCCTCTCGCGTTCTCTTCTCTTCCCGCTGTCCTACCTTTCGTGTCTCCCTCCTCTCAAGTGGATCTGTGAGCAAGATGGGTTCTGTTTGACTTCTAGTACACCTTGAACCATTCTGAAAACTGGCAACAGGGGCAGCAAATACATTTGCTCTTCAAATATGTTTGTTGGAGTCATCCTTGGATCCTCAGCCTTCGCAAAGCTGGAACTTGGACTCCTTGGTTCATCTCTGTTGATGTGCAGAGCTCCATCTTGTTCACCCATGAGCCGAGCGTCCGTTGCTTCAGATCGAGCTCCGGTACCTCAGCAAACCTCACAATGCCTGAGCCGGAAGAACCTGGCGAGCCACAAGGTGGGGCAGATCGGGAGATCATTTTTGAGGACTGGGGCGAAGGATGAAGGACTTTGAAGTCAGTTTAGCTGCCTAGGGATGCCCTGCATGCCCTGAAAAAGGGGCCGAGTTTCTCAGAGTGACATGATTCCCAAATCTTCTAGTTCCCAAACGAGGTCCAATCACTGCTGGCTCCTTGAGCCACCCATCAGGCATCCAGCTGAGCAATCTCAGCCTCGAATGGTCGGCACCCTCACATGACGGAGGGGCACGGATCGAAGGCTTTGAGGCAACCAGACGGGGCGAATGACGGGGGGACACGGGAGTGGCAAAAGCACGAAGACGTTGAGGTGTTGAGGTGAGAAAGTATCAGAGCTGATGGTTTGTAGATATTTCTTCCAAAGGGTTGGTGCCTAATCCTTCCAAGTATTCCTTGTACTTGTCTTGCCGGTGATTTGCTAGAGCATTCCTGCCGCTTGCTGTGGATGCACAGGTTTGGTCGCAGGTGGATGAGGGAGACTGGGCCCTCGAGGCGCTGGCCGGCACGGCCATGTTTGGATCCAATGAGGTTCAGTGTCAGAAGGATCCCAAGGGTCATGAGGGAGCCAACGGCGGCCTCTGTTGAAGAATTGTTCAAGAAGGTGTGGAGTCATAGGTGTGTGATTCCCAATCTGTGCCGTGATACCGGGAACGCGTGAACGAGCACATGGTCCTTGAAGGAACCTGACAAACTGTATGCACCAGTTTTTTGATGTTTTGTGTCCGCGTGATGCACGAGTCCATGAGACCAGAATTGCTTGCCCATGTCATGTCGTGAGGATGGAGAACTATGCTCAAAGACTTGGCCGACTTGACTCCAATTTGAGCTTTTGTGAGAGCTTTTGTGTCCAGGTGACTACCAATGAGACAGCCATGAATCTCACGGGCATGGTGGGCGACACACTCTACAGGCAGCATGCATTTCTGTGCTGGAAAAGGACTTGGATCTGAGTGGTTCGGGTCGAGTCACCTCAGGTTTGGGCCGGATGTTTGAGACGTCAGGCCCATTCTTTCATGGCGACCGGTCTGACCATTCCAAGGGCAAACAGCTTGATGTTCATTCTCCAGGGTTCGACTGTCAATTCATGTCATGGCGTGACAGGGGAGAACACGACGACCTACAGACATGGCGTGATCCCCGTTGCAGAGAGAACATGACCCCCTTCGAACTTCCCGGCCACGCATCTCATGCGCTTGACATTTGCTCTGGGAGGTTTCAAGTCAGAGCTTTGAACCGAGTGGGGGCAGGCAAGAGGGTCCGAGCGTCGTGAACACAAGGGGTCGTACTGACTTTTGTGGCAGTTCCACCGTGGACACTGTACATTGACATGTCATCCCCATACATCATGAAAGAGAGAATGGTTCCAGTTCAGGAGCAGTGGGACATGGCTGTAGTGTTAACTGAATCTAATCAAAAATAATCTTTGTGTAAGTAATGCCCTTGTTACTAGTAGCTTCTTGCTACTAGTAGCAATGCCCTTGCTACTCATAGCAAGGGTGTGAGTCCACATCTGCCAGCGCCACATCCACTGGGACCTGCGAACGGCGGCCCAGGCGCCTTTGCCGCCGCCGTGGAACTGCGAACGGCGGCCTCGGCTCCGCCGGCGGTGAGGCGAGCGCACCGGGGGGGGGGAGGGCGGTTGAAGCCATTGACAAAAACCCATCCGCCGGCGGGGGGAGACTCTCGACACAATTTTGCTTTCAGCATAGAGAACAGCAAGGCATCGAAAACACGATGGTCCTCTTTTAGCCAAATGCCAAAGGCATCCAATCTTCTTTGGGGCCCTTCAATCCATTTGGTCCACTTGAAGCCGTATACACCGTACTTTCTTCTTGTTCCGAGTGAATGCCACATGATTTTTTCTGTTCCATCTTCAAACTCACAGAAGACGAGACTTTGGCGAGTTGGACGCCCGTGATGCTATCCTGGGCTGTCTGGGCTCTCTGTAGTTTGTGTTGACGCGCTGGGCTGGGCCGTCCAGGATCCATGCAACTATGCACTGCTTCCAGGATCCATGCCCAGCTCGCAGCATCTCACGGACAGCGGCCCACTCTGTGGCTGGATGATGATCACAGCAGTGAGGATGAGATGCCTTTGGCCTCTCTCATCTGCATCACCAGTTCCCCAGAATTCATCCGTCACCATCGAACCGGCGAGGCCACGACCAGTGGCACGACCCGTCCAAAGAGCCATGTTGGGGCGAAGGAGGATGTGCCTTGGTTTGGCGACCGTGGGACCGTGGGACGGATGGGAAACGGCACAAGCTTCAAGATCAGACTGCTTTTTGGTGGGGGGTGGGTGGTTGGAATATTGAATCTGGTGTCGCCAGATAATCTACTTCGCAGCTACTGTAGTGTACCATCCAGGAATCTCGTTGCAGCTCTGCTGCACACATCCCAGCGATGATGAGGTACAGACATTGACTGATGAGGTCCAGCTGGTCAAGGTCATTCCTGCAGTTGTGGATCTACTTACTCCGCCAAAGGAACGACCGGCACGGCCTCCAGCATCACCGTGCTCACACTTGATGCGCGTGGGAAGCAACAAAACAAGAGCTCCGGATTTGCAAGTGAATGCGGAGGTGATCACTCCCAAACATGCTTCTGTGAAAGCTGAAGTGGTCACTCCAAAACGGGCTTCGCGCAAGGGACAGCGAGTGAAGATGGAGGTCTTCACTCCCAAACGCGTGTTGCGGGTTCGTCGGGAGGTTGGGGTGACACCTTCCGGCAAGAGACACCCTTTGCATCCTCTATCACCCAATCGCAGCTGCTTACGTGGCTTTATACCGGTGCGTGCCTGCCACTTGAAGCTGGGTGATGTGTTTAGGGGCTTTCGGTGATTCTTCCCCTCACGAGGTGTGCAAGAAGGGTTGATATGTCACGAACAAAAGTAAACCATTTGAGTCTGTCAAATGTTCCGCGCTCGTGGTCCGATGCTCTTTTCTGTTCTCCCTTCTAAAGCATTTTGGAACCAACCCAGGAAGCAACGAGAACGGATTGCTTCCCTCTTTGGCGACGCTGGCTGGCCACAGCCTGCTGACTACGCCACAAGGGAAGCCATTGCTGAGTTGCTGGGCCTGCCATCGAAGGCTCCTCCAAAGGCAGTGACGCATCTTGCTTGGGCAGCCCGTCGAGATGGGATCTTGCACCTGGGTCTTTTGATACAGCAAGCTGCAGTTTGGTTGAGATACCTCCACTGGACGACCAGAAAAGAACACTACTGTACACACACATACATATATATATATATATTATATAATTTGGAAAAGATCCCATCGCCCATGAAGACACATCCTTTTCGAACACCCGAGTCGGGGTCGAGATGGACAGCTTCCATCTTGCATCCCTTCAGAACCCCCTCTCCCCCCAGCAAGCTGGACGGACCTCAGCTGTTTCCAGCCCGACCTTGGAACCAAGGCAGCGAGAGGACCGCCTGCTAGCCGCCGCCATCGTCAGCGTCTACCGCTACCGCGACCGACGGCGCTGCGGGTGCCTGGAGTTCATCGTGTCCCGAGCGCGAGGACTCGGCACCAGGAGCGGAAGATGGGGAGAGGGAGGAGACAGGTGGAAACAGGTGGAGACAGGAACCATGGAGAAGTGGCGAAGGAAAACATGTTTGGGAACAAACAGTTTTTGTTTTTAGTGTGTTTTTTCATCGGTATCAGCAGTCTGGAGGAAGTACTATCAGTCTTTGCCAGTCTTCTGGCTGGTCGTTTTCATGCCATTAACCAGCTAATAAAAAACAACCTATATAAGTTCGATCCTGTATTATCATGGATTTTCATGGACAAATGGAGCCCAGCGATTCGCGCCTCGCGAGGTTGCTTCGATTGGCCCAGCGGTTCTTGAAAGAGCAGAACATCTCGCGGCTGTATTCAGGTGTTGACCTCTCTCGGCCCTACGCCATGGCTGCACACCATCGTTGGGGCTTTCGGAAGGTCACACAGCAACTTGCTATGAATGTTGGCTTGCGTACAAGCAGTGAAATAACCACAACTCCCCACCTGTCATCCAAGGCAAGCTTGGGCGGAAGCAGGTTTGGCCACCTACAACCAAGGCAAGGTGTTGTTTTGTTTCCAATATAATCCAATATATGCAAATATAATATAATATAATATACAATATATATATATAAAATATATGTATATTTACAATATATATAATATACTATATAATATATAATAAATATATATATATATACACATGTTTAAATCTCAACAAGATCCATAATCCACGGGTATTTTTGGTGGCCGCACTCCTGAAGGCGATGTTTGCTACATGGTTCTTGACATGGACGGTGGAGCTGATATGGTGACTCATCCTGAATCCTGAGCCAATGCAATAGGCTTTGATGTGAAAAATGGCTTGGGAACAAAGCAGATGCGAGTTCAAAGACCTTAAGGGACCCGAAGTGCCCGGATGGCCCAAGAGAACTACAATGAAATATCAGCTGAGAGCGATGGTTGCCTGTTGCCATACTTCATTCTGCCCAACTCTGTCCTTTGTAGCAAGCCATTGCGGATCCTTTGGCACTGCTCAAAGGGCTGTTCTTGCACACATTGCGAAGACGAGACAACAAAGCTGAAGATCCGAAGAATGTGACAAAAGCAGAGAAAGATGTTTTGGGTGCTATTAATTGAAGTCATCAGTGTTGCCATGATTGTCAAGACTGTTTATACGCCTTATTGTTTCCTGTGTCAATGGAGGTCTTTTTGACAAGGCACTGGCACTTCACCACTTTCAGACAAGTGCTTGGGCAAGGTCCTTTGATGCAAGACAGAGCTCATTCACTACTAGACTGATGAGTAGTCAGTTTGCTGGAAGGGGTTGTTTCGGCAGAGTAGTGGTTACCCAGCGAAAGACGTCCGACACCCAAAAACACCTTGTAGAAGACCCTAGCGGCCCTAGTCCTCTTTCCCTTTCAGACCAACCACCGGTACGGTCGTTCGCCTCGAGGAACCTCGTGGCTGATGTGGCTGATAACCATGTCCGCTTGCGTTGGTGGGCCCCGGAGAAGGCCATCGGTCTGGGTGGCTGGTTGAGTCAAGAACCGTGACGTGCAACACATTGGTTTCTGCGGGTCAAAAGCGGGTGAATCCTGGATCCACTTGGGTCGCTGGTGAGAATGAAGACCCAGATGACCAGCGATTTTTGACATGTTGGCCTTTAATGTTGGGTAGCAGCTCCCTTTGTTCAACAATTGATTTTAGCGCTTGAGCCCACTATTCACCAGTCCAGGTCGAGAAACACAGTGTTTCTTTGAGCGGAGAAGGTTGACACATCAGTATCTCCGCGCCACATCCTCTGACGGTAGTTCTCCCCAAATCCCACTTCCGCAGCACGTTTTCCCTGGCGAGTAATTTCATCCGCCCAGGATGGCGGCTTTCCAATCATTGCCTACAGGACCGTGTGCTGGTTGACTCGAGTGCTTTGGGCAGTTTCACAAGGGGACATGTACTCTCTCACTGTCACGTTCCATGGAAGTGGATGGCACCCCCTGTTCATAGAGGAAAGTCGTCTTCCAAGGGAACCATGCCAGACTTCCATGTGATGTGGGTACGCGCTCTCGGTCAACACCCTTGCGCACGAGCTCGACCTTCCGGGTCTCCTGGTGCCATGACCCACAGCCACGTGTTCGTCCGAGCGAACACCGGTGCGAAGGACCACCGGTGGCTGCTCCGATTTGATCCGCCCGTCGTGTGAACAGATCTAACAGCTCAGCGCACGGCTGTGTACTGATAGGATCCAAGAGGAAGCAGATGAGGCAGTGGTTTCGATCTCGGTTGGGTTTGTTCAGGCGTTTCAGTGGCGGCTTTTTCTATTTGTTGGTGTGGTCCAATCACGTATGGGACCGGTTTCGCCCGTACAACACGGGCTCCATCAGTGCAAGCTTCTCTAGGGTCTACAGAACTACTAGTAAGGCACTTGTTTCTAATAGCTTCTTGTTACTCGTAGTAAGGCACTTGTTACTACTAGAAAGGCACTTGTTACTACTAGAAAGGCACTTGTTGCTACTAGAAAGGCACTTGTTACTACTAGAAAGGCACTTGTTACTACT